TATAGATAAATTAGAATAATGCTGAACTTTCTAAACAGACAATGTTATAAGTCTATTAAAGTGATTTCGAAAATATATAAGATGTATGTATAATAATATAAAGCCAGATTTATGTTGAAATCTAATTGTAAATTTCTACAATTTGTTTTAATATGTATTAATATTATCTGAATTTACATATTATTATACAATTTTTTAAAAAAGAATAAAAAAATTTATATAAGTAGATCTATTTAGTAATAAATAGTAATTAAATGATTATTGAAAAACAGATAATGTTACATTCCAACATAATTTATAAACTTAAATGTCTTTGCTACAAATTAACATTACTCGAGACAAAATTTTAGTAAAACTATTTGTAAGTTTCAATTGTGAAGTTTCTTCAAAGTTAAAAAATGTACAGTAATTTGATTGAAAAAATATCACTAAAGAATTATTTAAAATTTTAATACTATTCATTAAACATTGGGCTTAAGTATTACACACGTTAAGTACTTCTGTTAGAAGATATTGGCATACAATTGATAATATTCAAATGCACTTTTAGACAAATTTGACAATGAAATTTATATGTATGTATTTATTTCTTGCAGTTTATAAATTGTTTACCATTCTTATAAAGTGATAAAGAAGGAGCTTACGACAAAACAATTACAAGGATTAGAAAAGAAGAAGGCAGCATTTTTAGAAATTGCGAGGCTCAACGATAAAGATAAGGAAGCAAAACTGCAGGCTTTAAAGCAGGTTTGTATTTAGATCTAAGAACAGTTTTAAACAATGTTTTTGCAATTAGCTAGATCTAAAAATAGTTTTAAACAATGTTCTTGCAATTTAGCTTTATGAAATTATTTTTAGATGGTAATTGTCACTGATGGACACAGTCCAACTGATAGTAATTTGCTCGAAGACAGCTCTACTCGTAAATGATCTTGTGAGAAAGATTTAGATGATACATGTTCAGAGGCATGTAAGGGGAAAAATATTTCTAGTGAGACAGAATTAGAGGATAATTAAAGACCGAGGGAACTTTATTGATCTATACATAGTGTAATGTATAAAGAGACATGTGATATTATTTTATACATGTATACATTATATATACTACATACACATATGTATAATCTATATGTGTATAGATTAAGCGATATAAACCAATATGCAAGCTTGAAGGAAGAACTCAAGAGACGTAAGAAGAGGCTTAAAGCAATTCCAAGACTCACTCTTAAAGCGGTTGGCGAGATGCTACTCTGGATATTCGAAACGTAGGAAAGAGGATACCGATATTTCTTAGTGATGTACAACATCTTCTGTTATATTCACTGCTCGGCCATTCACCCTATCTTACCTGCAGCGAGATGGTGTCAACTTGAGAAGTATAACAAAGTAATATCTGGCTATAAAGTAGCATCAAACAGTATTTCATTCTAAAGATAATTTAAATTGTGATAACGAAATAAACCAATTTTCTCTGAAGGTAAGCCATACTGTAGTCCTGGTGCTTGAAGGCTTGTCTTCACATCATTACATGGCTTATGAGAGCATGTTCCCACACATAGTAAATAACTTAAAGCATCGTTTAGAGGTAATAACACCTGCTGTCTATGGAGCATAACAGAAGAGCTAGCAGCTGTTCCTTTAACAGGAACTCAAAGTGATAAATTAATTAAACGTACGTTACATAACAGTAAAATATATTTGATATATTTTCTATTATAATGAATATTTTTAAGTTTTACTCTTCCTATGAAATAAAATATTCTAGTTGATTATTAGGAATATGTGTTTACAAAATATACAGTAATCAAATTCTATAATATATTAATTTCTAATGTTAATACAAATTTATATATATTATAATGACAATGGAAGGCACTTGTTCGTTTTTAGGATATGGCTCCTTAGAAACTGCTCTGCAAACAAACGGAAATGTTATAAAATTGCTGAGAAGCGTCTTTCCGATGCATTCGATAAATAGTGACGAGAAATTGCCTACGAAGGACAGCTCCGACGGAGATTTACCATCGACTGATAAATTTTCTAGAACGAAACTGCTTTTGTCGTTATGGCAAATGGTGGAGGAAAACTATCCTGTACCTCTGAGAGGACCGTTAGTAGAAAGGCAAGGCTCTGCCATAATATTGTAACAATATGATAGTTAATTATATTATTACAATATAACTATAATTAATCGAGTTGAATAATTCTAGATACGGTTCGTATTAACAAAAAACGTTTATAGAGAGGCCACGTCAACATCGCCAATGTTCGGTTTAGATTGTGAAATGTGCCTGATAACAAGCGGCAATTTGGAACTCACTAGAATAAGTATTGTTGATGAGAGCATGAAGGTGAGTACAGTCGCGTGCATTTGCGTTAGGCGGTAGCGTGCAAATTGTTTCAATTACAGGTCATTTATGACAGTTTGGTGAAACCGGAGAATGCAATAACAAATTATCTGACTCGGTACAGCGGCATTACTGAGGATATGTTGGACGACGTCACGTTGCACGACGTTCAACAGACACTGAGAACGTTACTTCCTGCGGATGCGATTCTCGTAGGACAAAGCTTGAATTCAGATTTGCACACGTTAAAAATGATGCATCCCTACATCATCGATACCTCCGTAATATTCAATCTTACTGGAGATAGGTACTGTAAGATGTTATAAATATCAATGTTAATGAACACAATTTCAATTCACGTTTTGTTATCTGACACAGGTATAGAAAAACGAAACTGCAGATTTTGGCACGTGAATTCCTCGGGGAACGCATTCAAGACAGTAAAGCCGGACACTGCTCGGCCGAGGACTCGAAGGCTTCCATGAAATTAGTAAAGTTGAAATTAGCGAACAGCGTGGATTACGGAGACGCCGTGCTGCTCGGCGATCGCAGCATGAGAGTCTTGAAAATGGAAACTGGCAACGAGAGAACGAAGCGAACATTGCAAAGTACAGAAATAAAGAAATACGCCACATCGATATTTAGTCACATAACGAAAAATAAAGGTGCCACCACCGCCATCGTGGGCGACGATGAGGTGATGTCCGAATATTCCAAATATTTAACGAACTCGTCTCTCAATGTCATGGACGACGAAAGTTTCGCGAAGGATGATCAAGTTAGTGTGCATCTATGAACGCAATATTAAATAGAATAGATGTTTCGATGACTTTAATAAACATTCATCTATCGAGAAATTAAAACAAACTGAAAAGTTAGAGTAAAATTCTTTTCAATTATATCTATTATCAATCTTTGATAATTGCAGGTACATCTAGTTATAGCAGATAACGATAAACACGCTGTAGATCGGACTTCGGAAATCGTGATGGAGCATGCTTTTGTACTGTGCCATGTGAAACTCGGGGAAGAACAACTGAAAGACGAACTGCTAGAAGAAACATTTCGTACTGTGAATGAATGGATTTATAAACATAAAATTATAAACATGTATATTTATATTGACTTGCTTTTTATAAAATATCTTTTTTCGCCAATTTTAGTAACTGCGGAATAGCTTATTACGTACATAAATATACTAAATGTTATACAGTAATACATGCAAAAGATACAATTATTTTCTTCGAACCTTATTACAAAGTAATTTATTTCGGGGAAGTGTGTTGAACAGCGATAAGATTAATAAACCATAAATGCATAACTTAAAGAACTTAAATTTTACAAGTCTCGTCTTCCTTTTAAATTCAGACAAATACATTATACGTTCAGAAAGTAACATGGTTAATAGAGTCCCTTATCGTGAGACAGGAGACAGGTTCTTAATATGAGACAGCGGGGTTTCTGCTAAATAGGCATTATTTGTAGTTCCACCATGAATTTATTAACCTAGAAGTAAAATCTGCTTAGTGGAAAATTCATAAATTCGTGTAGCATGTAACTGTTGCATAAAAGATTTGTGAAAGTGGATGTTGAAAACCTACTGTCTTGTAGCGACTTTGGTTGCTTGTACTAGCGCGCACAGTGTACTAAGGTTTGTTCATAGTTAATTCTTATATTTAAAGATTGTCTTAAATATCTCTTGAAACATTTCTTAGCCAGTGAAATGATCTGTATAGCATCCATACGAATCATTTTTTGGCTAAATACTCTTTGAACATGTATTTAGGACAAAGTTAAATATAAGAATTAACTATAAATAAACCTTAGTGCACTCAGTGCGCACTAGTGTAAACAACCGTTCGCTATTATATTAGGAACCTATCTCGTAACTTTCCTTTACACATTACCGAAACATCTATCATTTTAACGAGTTCATTTTGTACATCATGTAGGTCAAATTTGGTTCTCGCCTATTTCTATCAAGCGTGCGTTGCCTGAACGAAGCTGCCATGGCAGCTCCTTCCGACAATTGTTTTTTAGTATTCTGTAAGTTTACTGCAGAGAACTGCGTGGAGCATGACGACATTTGTTGTTAGTTTCGTGAGACTTTTCGTTTCTTCTTCGCTCTTGTTGGCGCATTCGTAAGATTCTCCAACATATCATTCGAAAGTCGCTTTAAGCCGGCTGTAAAACAACGTTCTGGTGATGGCAGAAATATAGGTTTGTTTCTCAATTGTCTGCCAACTGGTCGGAGGTTTTTATCAGACTTTAATTTTGAAACTGGAATCCGCACTGGCAAAGCACTCTTTATTTTCTCTGACAAAATAGAGCCACTTGATAATAGATAACAACTTTAAGAAATTACCCATACTTGGGATTTCGTTTTTATTTTCATCAATTTCAACTAAGTTATTGGACTCGATAATTATTATACCAAACAAAAGTGAAATACAAAATGATTTCATAATAACGACGTATCGAGTATTAATATACTTTCTATCAAGCGTGCGTTGCCTGAACGAAGCTGCCATGGCAGCTCCTTCCGACAATTGTTTTTTAGTATTCTGTAAGTTTAATACTAAATTGGTTTTTCTCACCATGGCTATCACCTTATACTAATTTGGTTTTTCTCACCATGGCTATCACCTTCAACTGCATATCCTTCGACGTTTTTTAATTTTTGCGGCAACCGTGATAATTATTATACCAAACAAAAGTGAAATAGAAAATGATTTCATAATAACGACGTATCGAGTATTAATACTCGATACGTCGTTATTATGAAATCATTTTGTATTTCACTTTTGTTTGGTATAATAATTATCACGTTTACCGCAAAAATTAAAAAATGTCAAAGGATATGCAGTTGAAGGTGATAGCCATGGTGAGAAAAACCAAATAATAGTAATATGAATAAAATAATGAAATAAAGTCAATTTTCGAAGAAATAAATTATTATTATTATTATATTTCATCATTTTGTACTTCACTTTTGTTTGGTATAATAATTATCGAGTCCAATAACTTAGTTGATAATTTAATTTTGTTTGGAAAACAAACTTGGGATTTCGTTTTTGTTTTCATCAATTTCAACTAAGTTATTGGACTCGATAATTATTATACCAAACAAAAGTGAAATACAAAATTATTTCATAATAACGACGTATCGAGTATTAATACTCGATACGTCGTTATTCCAAACAAAATTAAATTATCAACTAAGTTATTGGACTCGATAATTATTATACCAAACAAAAGTGAAGTACAAAATGATTTCATTTTGTTCTCACCGAACACAAGTCAGGGACAAAATGATTAATTTGATTTTCACCAAATTAAACAGTTACAGATTTCTAAAGGGAAGATATATCCAAAAAGAACGAAGCAAAATGTTTAAGGGGATGCTGGAGTGATTTTGCACTTTTGCACCTTTCTAACCTAAAAACTGTCAGTTCACAGAAACATTTGTGTAATATACAAATTAAATGGCTTACGTGTACAGATCGAAAGCAGCTTGCTATTCCGGCCAAATGAAAGAATAATATGGCATCACTGAAACTAAGTTTGTAAGTCTAATAAAAAATAATAGTGAGCAACACACATACTACATGTACTGTATGTATGTGTTGCTCACTATTATTTTTTATTAGACTTACAAACTTAGTGTCAGTGACGTCATATTGTTCTTTAATTTAGCCGGAATAGCAAGCTGCTTTCGATCATCTGTACACGTGCCATTTAATTTGTGTATTACACAAATCTTTCCACGAAACAGACAGTTTTAAGTGCAAAAGGTGCGAATCACTCCAGCATCCCCTTAATACTCGATATTAATTTAATACTCGAAATTAATACGTCGTTATTAATGTTCAGTGTATTTCATTTTCCTTGTCACTCTTTTATTCTTCAGTAGAAATATCCAATAAATTTTCAGATATATTTCCTTTAGAAGACTTTAGGACTTCAGGTGATTTACATAAGTCAATTAATGATGCTATCATCTGTGACAGATTCTCTTCAATATTGTTTTTCTTCGAAGAATTTGGATGGCTTGACAAAGAAGAATCGATTTCCTTGATTATAACCGGGGATGATGATGATGATTGAAAAAATTTAAACACGTCTTTTTCTTCAGCTACAGACACAACATATGTACATTACAATTTGTCCTGTGTTATTCAAAACATTATATTAAATTCTACAATAAAAATAGAGATGTGCAAATCAAGGAGATTTTTTATGTCAAATTAAATCGAATCAAATCGTTGAAATATAATTTTTAATTAACAATGATTATTAAATTAATTTTTAACATTTAGATAACATAAAGATAATAAAAGAATATCTTGATGTGAAAAAATAATATTGATTATAGAATATAAACTCGTTTTAATATAAAAACATTTATATAAATATTTGATATAAAACTAACAAAATATACTTTATTTAATGTCACAATAAATAAAACAATTATGCAAAAAATCAAATTTAAATAATCTAATATAAGATCTAATAACGTTGATCAATTACATGCATAGCAATTAAAGTTAAATAATATATTTTATTATGAATACTCGTTGATTTAAATCGAAGGTAAAAATTAGTTTATGTTCTATTACAGTGTAGCCCAGTCAAATTAGACAAAAATAAGGCCAATCTGCGGAAAAATTCCCATAGGGCTGGATTTTGGTATACAGCGAGATATTGTCCTTTGAAACAATGTCTCAAAAGTCCTGATCGATACCACCGCAGCTAAAAATTTTATAGAGGGTGAAA